TTTTATAAATTTGATTTTTTTAAAGTTTGAAATATACCAATTATAAGTATAGAGTTCAATTAACCCATATGCCTATAGTTTATGATCTAAATTTCATATTAAACCAACTTTATTTGTAAAACTCCAATTTTATAAATGCTAAGAACACACGAAGACAAGTAGTAGTTGTAGTAGTGGTGTGAAAAGTATTGAAGTCTCTTTTTCATATAAGAGTTCAAGGGAGTTGGGATAAAATGAAACTTTACTTTAAAAAAAAGCAATAAAAATAACATAATATAATAATTTAAATTAAATCATATCATGAAGGTAAAAAAATTAAATCATGTTATAACAAACTAAATATACAAACAATATATAATTATATTTGAAAAACATGTAAACAAATTAGAGTTGAAGGCCCTAAATAATAGGGTGACCTATGGTTGGATTTCAGCTTAAGTGGAGCTACGTCAATTCAAAAAATTAGAAGGAAGGAAGGGAGAAAACAAAGCATGAACCAAGCTCTAGTAAGACTTGAGATTTTAAACCTTTGAGAATATTTTGGAGCTTTTAAACTCTAAGGGTAAGTCTCTTACATCATTCCTTCTTCCTATTCCATTTTCTTAAATATTTGAGCTAGAGTTTGTATTGAAATGATGATTTTTGAAGCTATAGGTCCAAACTCATTAACTTAAATGAAATTAATGAGATTTGTTTAGATTATTTAAACTTAGTATTAACGACCATATGGGTTTTAGTGATTGTAGAGTAATACATACCCAAAAATTAGAACTTAATAGGGTTGTTAGAGGTGTTAGATAGCCATTAATAATTATTTATTAAAACTAACGTGAGTTAAAGGAAGCTAATAATTCTATGGGTAGGCTTGAATGTTAGGAATTGGAATTTTAGTAGTTTTGAAGTGTTGGGTAAATATTGGAAATAATCTTAAGAGTGATATTAATGACAATTGGTATGATTAATTATAAATTAATCATTTCTTGACACCATTTAAGCTAATTGAAGCTTTAGAAGTATTTGTTATTAAAGGGTAAACATTTTATTTTTCAAAGGTTTGAGGTAATTGAGAAAAATTTAATTTATAAATTTGCTTGTTAAATTGATTATAAATATTTATGAACTTGTTTGAAAATCATTTGATGCTTGGAGACTATTTTGATGCAATTGTGGCATTTGATAATGATTTCATGTGATACAAATGAAAATGAAATGAATGTTTTAACAATGATTTTGAAAATGATTATGGCTATGTGAATTTGAAAGAAGGAAGTGAATGGTGAGAATGATGAGATTTTGAATGAAAGCTATGAAGTGAAATTTTTACTTAATTGAGTTATTGTATAGATATGTGTGATTGGTGTGTGATATATTAAGGATATGAGAATTTCATTTTTATGAAAATGATGTTTGAGCATTCACATATTATAGTATGATGATTTGATAAAGTTACATGCTACGAGTCAAGCATGTGTTGCATTGCATGATCATTGGTGGCGGGAGTTCGTCCTAGGGAGAGTTATTGAGATTTGAAATCCATATAGTATGGCCACCATTCAAAGCTCGATAGCTTGCCTTTATTTATTTATCCTACTTGTTCTTCGAGAGACTGTCCCACTTGTCTATTGAAGAGCTCGAACCTAACTAGTCTCCACTAATTTATAAGGAGGCTAACTTAGGGGTACGGTACCCCATAGTTGTTAGTGTTAAGAAAAACTGTGACTTATAAGTGAGTGTAGTGCCTTGGTTGGGCAGCTTCTCACAAGGGAAATAATTCAATTACGTGGGAAAAACCCACTATATAGCTAATAGTTTTACATCAGAGGTACTATGAGGGTATAAAAATGACATTGATCATGCATATCATATTTTTATGCTACATAATTGTTAGTTTTGTGATTAGATGAATTGAATGGTTGAATATGTGAACATATATTAATTGAACATGCCACTTGCATCACTCTAATTAATTAACATATATTTATATAGGTTAAATTAACATTGGTTAATAAGTAGTTGTATTCACCCCTCTCTGAGTTAGGACTTAAGAAAAGCACTAAAGGCTTAGGATCTGTTAATTGTAACTATAGGCCTCTTATAGATTTAATTATGTGTATTTTGGTAATAATTTGCCAACTATGTATGTCACAACATATTAAGAGCATGTTACGGTACACCTTTGTATTTTTGGAAAAATAATATTTTTCAACTTAAATGCAAATATTTTAATACAAACTAGTATCTCATGCTTTCATAAACATATTTTACTCTGATTTTAGTTCATGAAATGATATTAAAGTATTTTATAAGTTTTGCAAATTTGAGATCTCATTTATGTGATTTTTACAAACTTGGTAATCTATTTAGGTGAATCTCGTGATTATCTTAATTTCAGAGTTAATTATGAATTAGTAAGAGCAACATTACAAAGCCTAACCTGACCAAGCTAAATCAATCCTTAGTCAAGTTAAATGGTAGATCCTTTATAGGCTCTTAACCTATTTTCACTTGTTTGTCATTCTTTGTCTAGCTAAATAAGGGAAATGAACCTCTCAATAACCAATCCAAGAGATAATGTATAGGGTGGCCAAATTGAAAATATGGTAAACGTATAAATTTAACTATGAACTGCTTTTCAAGAACCATTGGGTATCCTATATTATGAACTAGTACAAAGAAGAAATTCATAAACTATAAAAAAACATAGCATTTGGCACCTTTCCATCTATGTGAGTAAACGTCCATTTATTTTTCATTGTTAGGCCTACATTCATTACATGACCCTCTTTATCTCCCTTCATTTAGATCTCCAATTTTTTCACCTTCTTCAATGTCTCCAATCACTAACTTGCTCCTATACTTAAGGCTTTCTAACTCTCATCTCGATCTTGCACTCTCATGTCTCACATAAAAGGAAAGGCCAAAAGAATGGGTGCTTCTGAGTGAGTGAGTGAGAAGCAAGCCAAATACTTCAATAGGAGCTTTTGAGTAAGTAAGTTAATGAGAGAAAGAGAGAGAGCACATAAGGAAGGGTTAAAAGAATGGGTAGACCTATCAAACAATGAGGTGGTTTTAAAGAGTTTACAAGAGTTTTTGAAGGTAAGAGGATTGCATAGGTATGGTGGTAGTTATTGCAATGATGAATGGTAGACAGTGTGGTAGTGGTAGATTGTAGACATGGGCAAGGGATAGGGATAAAACCCCTTCTCAATCATGGCCATGCCTACCTTTGACAATTTGCGAGTGATAGGACTAAGAAGGAATTGAATCTAGAAACCCAAGACCCTCATCAAGCTAACTATATATGTTTCTCTTTTGTTTGCTTTGTTTGATTTGCTTTTATACCTTAAATTACATCATTTGATTAATGCTTTCATGCTTAATTCTTCTTGATATATATGTTTTTTGGGTAGAATAGTGAAAAATTCCTCTCCTCCTTTCTTTCTTTCACCATAGCTTTCATTTCTCGCTCCTCTATCTTCCAAATTGTTGAAATCATTTGATGACATTCTATTAAGGTTGTCGCCGATGGGGCCATCATTAGAGAAAGCAACAAAATGGTGAAAAATATTGACATTTGGAATGGAGAGAGAGAGAGAGAGAATTAGCTTTGAGAGTTTAGAGAAAGGGATGTGTATGAGAAAGAGAAAATGGGTTGAATGAATATGGGTCCAGCTTGTTGAGAGAGAATAGGTTGAATGAATATGGGCCCACTTTGTTGACTAAAAAATTTAATTTCTATTTTTCTAAATATCTATATATTTATTGACCACTTTGTTATCCATGCATCAAATTTTTGTCTACTTTGAAAAGTTGAATGTCTATAGGTCCCACAATAATAAAATTAATGGACGTTTATTCACGTAAATGAAAAGGTGTTAAGTGCTATAATTTTTTAGTTCATGTATTTCTTTACACCATTATATAATATAAGATACCCATTGGTTGTCAAAAATAGTTTATGACTAAATTTGCACATTTATCTTTAAAAATATAACATAAAGTAAAAGGGCCAAAATATATTTTAATATTTTTTAGAAGTAAAAATTCTAATTTTTTTTTCAAAGAGTAATTGAAAGGGGCCCTTATAGGCTATAGCTTGGCCCGCTTTAGATCCTAGAATCATCCTTGGAACCTTTCTATTTCCTTTATTCTCCTTTTCCTTGTATCATTCTTGGATTAAAATTCTAATTAGTTATGATTTAATATCGGTTTAAATTAAAAAGTTGAAAAAATCACTTTAAATCCAAACTATTGAGAATTATGATTTAATGGTAATAAAGGATAAAGTAGAGAACCCACCCAAGTAGAGCCCAGCAACTAAATAGTGACCACAGAAATTTTATTGTTGTATAATACGTAGTAGAATTGAGTCTGCTAAAGCTAATTCCACTATTGTAGCATGACTGTGAAGGATTCATTCTTTTTATATGCTTCTTTCTAGCTCTTCTATTCCATCACATAAAGCTCCCACTACACCAACATTTGGGTTTATTGGCATCTATCAATCATTTTCTTTACATCTTCTAAGTAACTTGCTTTTCTAAGAAGATCAATCATGCAACCATAATGGTCCATGTTAGGCTTACCATTTTAAAGAACCTTTTCCCCTCATCTACTAATCTTCCATGAGAGCACAAGCTGAGAATAGCAATAAAGGTAACTTCATTTAGTTGAACTCTGCTCCTTAACATACATGAGAATAGCTCTAATGACCTCAAGGTATCCATATGAACAACCAACCCATTTATTATGGTTGTCCAAGTATACACATCTTTTACTTTCACTGATAACTTTTCAAATAACAACGCCTCGTCAATGTACCCACCTTTTGCATATATGTCTACGAATGCTGTGCCTAAAGTTGAATTTAGGTATAACTTATTTCTATCTATATGTTGGTGAATTAACCTCCCTTGCTCCGGTCCCCTTATATATGCACATGCATGAAAAGCAGCTGTAAGCGTAAATTTATTAAGTACAATGTTATGTGATAACACAACTTAGAAGACAAGAAGCGCATCTTTATACCTCTTGAATTTTATGTAATCATTGATTAGTACAGTTTAAGAAACTACATTTTTATGTGGCATTTCATCAAACACTTTGCGGGCATCATCATAATAACTACACTTAACATATATATCTATAAAAATGCTGCAAATATAAGCATCCAATTGAACTCGAGCCCTAACAATATAAGACCTGTGAATCTATCTTGAAATAATTATCACTTGACAAAGTAGTTGCATGAAAAATGCTAACTATGACTACCCCATCAATGCCAGTCTTACTTGTTGATGTCATCTTCACAAAGTAGCTTAATACCTCTCTCGAACAATCATTTTTGGCATGCCCATCAATCAATGCAGTCCTTGCAATAACATCTTACAAGAAACTTTTATCAAACACTTGGCATGCACACTTCATAAACCCAGAATTAGAAAAAGCATGAATTAAAGCATTTCAAACAAAAAGATCAAAATGTAACCTGAATTTAAGAATTTGAGCATAAAGCATAAGTGGATCTTGAATATTAGACTTGGAGAACATCTTAAGAAGCAAAGGGAAGGTGTGTTTATCTAGATGTATGCCATTTTGAAGCATTCTTGCATAGCAAGAAAGGGTTATATGAAGGTAAGGAAAGTAGGAGAGAGCCTCAATCATTTTATTAAAGAAGCAATTGATAGGGGAATATATAGTAATAAGAAGGGAAGCATAGGAAAGAGGGCGGGTTGATAGAATGCAATATAGTGAATGAGTTCGTTAAGCAACAAGTTGTCATCTGAAAAGCTAGAAGCAATCATAACGGAGTGGATTTGCTTGCATTGTTTTGAAGTTCTGTGCTTTTGTAATAGAAAAACAAGTTTACCACATAAGAAGGCTAACACCATTGGATGTTATTTGTCTAATGCCATCAAACTTTGGATGAAGAGGCGTAAGAGGCTAATGCCATTGAAATTTTCAAAGCTAAATTTAGGAACAATTATTAACCTCTAAAATTTCATATTATTTCATTACATTTTTTTAGATTCTAATCCATTTTGACTCAATTATATATGTTTTTATTGTCCAAATTAGAAAAATGTACATTTTGTTTTAGGTTTGTATTCTTGGATTTGATTTGATATTTTTTGCCTAATTTCATGTTATTTTGGTTTAAGATTAGATTAGATGCATTTCTGGAGCTTTGTTGATATTTTTGGAAGGCTTTTGGATGAAGAAATCAAACACAGTGAATAATTTTGTTAGCTGCAAAAATAGTGTAAAATTGTCAAAGTTGTTCCAAAGTCGTGATTTTTGTTTGCGACTTTCACCACTGTCAGAAAAATGTTACATTTTATTAAATCTAAAATTGATTGAGTGGGACACTTATATTCAAAGAGCTCAACCCAGAAGTTATTCTACTCAATTTTAGACACATTTAGAGCTTGGTCGTGTTAGGATTTGGGTATTGGAAGAGTTAAGATCAAGAGATTGAAGCTTTGAAGACATTTAGAGCTCATTTTCTTTGGTTTTTTCATTCCTCTTCCCTTTCCTCTTTTGTAATCTGAAATGGGTCCAATTTTTTTTATATATTTACAGTTTGTGGATGATTATGAGTAGTTAAACTCTTTGTTCTAGGATTATTTGGAACCCTTGTATGGATGAACATGAAGTTCCTCCTCTCTTCTAATGATTAATGATATATATGTGTTTATTTTACTCTTTTCTTAATGCTTCTAAGTGATTGGCTACCATTTAAATGTTGGGTTTACTTGATTGATGCTTGAGAGGGCTAGGTTGAATATAGAACTTGGGTAAAATAGTGCAAGAACTTGATATTTACATGTTGAATGGATAGTTTTGCTAATAAGATAGAGATATACTTGCTAGCCTTGCATAGCCACATTAGGGTTGGTGTTTAAAATTGAATTTTATTAATTATAATAAGAGATTGGGTAATTAATTTAACTACATACTTGTTCATGGCTTGAGAGAGTTTGTCCAAGTATTTTTAGAACTCTAATTTAGCACTTATCTTTATTAAAAGCATTTATGAGATGAGATAATTTTGGTGTTATGAAATGCAAGGGGGATAAATAATTCTAGGACTCAATTTGTGTTTAAAGTGTGTGAATCAATTACTTTTTTCTATTTTCTAGTATTAGTTTAGTTTGTAAAATCAACTTTTTCCTAATTATGTTTGGCTTAATTTAGTTGAACTTACTTAATCTTTTACTTGATAATCATCATTTTTAGACAAATTATTGAGAGAATGATACTTTACTTTTCTTATATTATTTACTACGATCCATGCACTTACGGTGAGCAACAACAATTAATCTAAAACACCATGTAAGCTAGCTAACTACTTTAAAATCTCACCGAATGCACAAAAATAACACCAATTCGTGACAAACGCCTTACTCAACAACTCTTTAGTAAACCTTTTAAAAAACCAAACCATTAGCAGGGTTTAAGTAAAAATTCATAGCTAAGGTAGTCAACAAGGCCATGAAATGTTTGTGATATGGCATTTTAAAATAATGTCCCACATAACAATAATCTTCCCTTTTAAGCAACAATATCACATTAACTACTATTCTATGCCATCCACAGTTTCAAGTAAGAAAACATATTCTCAAACAGATTATAAGCCACATGAAATTTTGTATACTCGGCATTCAACCTCAATACACAATTACCATTTATACTAATAATTTCTACCATTGAGGATAGTTGTTGGCTAAAGATCTTTTAATTAATAATATTCTAAAAACTTAGTAAATGATGAAGTGTAGTACAATCTATATAATCAACCCCAACGTTTCCAAACAAGTGTTTAAATGATTTTTATGACAGTATAACCGAGCCTTTAATCCGGTGGTGACCCCCCAACGTTCATGTCTCCACCTTCAGGCTATATATAGCCATGGGTGCAGACAGAGCAATACAATCCTCTTGAGTTTTCAGGGTTCTCTCCTCCCTCTGTCTATTCGTCTGTGTTTACTTTTAGTCTCTATTGTTTTGTTCCCTCGTTTCGTCGAGGAAGTGCTTGTTTAATCCTGGAGAACTGCCGGTCGTCGGAAGGTGTGCCGGGATAGTTATTAAGGACAGTGTCCTTTCGGGCATGACTCAAGTAATTCGTACTTCATCGTTTGCGTTTCTGCCAGTGTCACCAACAAAAATTACATATTTATACAATCGGAGATGCATGTGTACGAGTATGTGATGATAGATAATCAACAAAATCTGGGGATGGCTCTAACGCGAGAAGGATGAATGAGTAAGGTGGATATCTGGCCATTGATCTCCCTACACAACTTCCCTAATTCAATGACCCTGCATTGCATTCTCTCGAGGTCTAATCTCATGTCTTGTCCAGTACTCTCAATACCAATATCCTGCTTTGATTGCTGAGAAATGAGAGCCTGCATGGTGATCCTAGGGGGGATTCTGGGATTTCTGGCAACATCTTTGCTCGCTTCATGTAACATCCTAAAAATTTTAAGACTCAAATTTATAAAAAAAATAAATAAAAATAAAATAAAATATCTATAATTAAATTAACATTTAGAATAATTTAATAGAGGCCCAGAGTTTGAATTTTACTAAGCAAAAGTTTGGTTTTATTTGATTTTTAACTATGGAAAAAATTACCAAAGTTGACCCGGGCTTTTGTGCAATAATAAAAAATGTTGGGCCCTTTCTTGTAATTTTCTCCAAACTTTTTGACCAGCAATTTAAAGACCAAAATTGATACAGAAACGCAGAAATTAAATTGGAAAGGAAAGGAAACGTATGAGAGGGAGAGAGGAAGAAGAGAAGAGAAAGGGAGGGATTTAGGCTTAGATCTAGGAGTCTTTGCGACCGTTGCGAGCTCGGCTACACGATAGGTAAACTCCCTACTTCAATCCTCTTCTCTTTCTCTTGATTTTCTTCAATTTTTGAAGAGAAAATTTTTAGATTTTGATCCCAAGGCTTTATTCTTGTAAGCTTTTGTTTCTTTGGATTCTAGGGAGCATGTTTTGAGTTTCTATATAGTGATCTAATGTTTTGAGTGAATAATTGGATGAAAAGAGGTGTTTTGGGCACAAAATAAACCTTGAGAAATTGGGTTTTTGCTCCTCAATGGTTTAAGCCTATTGATTTAGTTATAATTTTGCTATTTGAGCCCAATAAGATTTAAATTAAGGTTTGGTTTTCATTATAAGGGCTAATGGTGAAAGTTGGTGGCACTAAGTAAAGGTTTTTAATTGATTAAAAAAATTATATAAATTGAAAATTAGCCTAGTGATGGCTAATAAATGGTTTTGGTGGTTAAGTGATACTATGTGAATGGTTGGTTTAATATATGGACCATTAGGGTGGATTATGACTCATTGACCTAAGTTGTGTGGTATGAGTTATAGTCTTCATTAATGCTATTTGTCATGATAAGTGATGTGGATCACTTATATGTTGTAGAAAATTGTTGGTAGAACTTATTGAGAAGTAAGGAACAAGCTGAGCCCTATTTTGTACAAGGGGAACCCTTTTAGTACCAAAGGGTTGAGGTAACAGGGGAATTTATATTTCTTATTACTTTGTTTTAGCTATTTTTGAATAAATATTACTAATTATCATGCATTACATGTTTTAAAAGATTAAATGTGCTTTATAAGGGGTTATGGGGTACTACTTTGATTATAGTGCAAATATGTTTTCTAATTGTTTAATAACAATGTTTTTATGGAAATGAGATTTATAAATATTATACTACTTTAGAGTGTTGAATGGTCAATACTCAGGAAAGGTAGACAAGAGTAAAAGGCATGATCTCGGTGGGAGTTCACCAATGAGAAGGTGTGGATTTTTGATATTCTATGGCACACTGTCAATACTCAGTGTTGTCTTACGTATTGTGGGCTCAGTGCACTAAAGTGGTTAGTGTATTGAGTGTTCGACACCTCTCAGTGGGGGAGGGAATCTAACATATGAAGTGTGAGGTTGAGTGCCTAGGCCAAGGTAGCCCTCACATGGAAAGTAAGTTGGGCTGGCTCTGGGAGGGAGTTAGCTTCAACTGCTTAGGATTCACGTCGAAGGGGCATAGGAGGTTCGGTGGATTAGATCATGCCTTAGATTATGTTTTGTGCCTGTGGAGGTACAAGTAGGTATAAGGTTTACCTGCGAGTTAAAGAGTGCCAGGGGGCATTCTGTTGGTCATAAAAGGCCATACCGGCCTAGGTCATGCATTCATGCATTTTAAATGGCTAAATTGTATACTATGTTGAATTTATTATTCGTTTATTTGATTATGGCTTACTTTGTAATAATCAATGTAGATTTCGCTGTTACTGAGACTGTGGTTGTCTCACCCCTTTCTTTTCAATATTCTAGGTCCAGGCGAAGGATCCAGTGGTGGACGGGGAAAGGAGCAAAGCTAGGGGTTTGCTTGTGATTTGTAAAGAACTGCAACCCCTTTCTTTTGAGCAAATATATTGTAATGTATTTAAGATTAGGGTGCCAGTAGGATATGATTATGTATGTGTGTGTGAATATGTGTGGATTGTGTGCTTGTGTATAAATTTTTGTCTGTTTGCAGACTTGTGGCTAGGAAACTTGGTTATGGTGTGTGGTTTTGATGGATTTACTTAGTAGACCAAGTTTCTATTACAAGCAGATCTTTATTTTGATATATATGTGATTTTATAAGCAAATGCAAAGTGGTTGCATTGCAAATGGTGTGCTATGGGCAAACATACACCTTGGATAGAGAGAGTGGGTGCGTGGGCTCCACAAGGAGCTCTGAGCCAAGTGAAAATGTTTAGCATATGTATTTATATAAATACATGGTATTTGGATTGATTTGTGACCACTCTTGTATGATTTGTGCATTTTGGGGGTTTAGGGTCCATTTTGGGAAATGGCACCCGGGTGGTCAAATTTTGATGTATGGGGGTTTTCATCATTTGAATGTTCTATCAGGTGTTTTTAATCTTATTTGACGTGTCCAAAGTGTTTCCACAGGTTTGTGACCATTAGGATGAGATTTGGACAATTTTGAAAATGGTTTTTACCAAAAAGCTGCACTTTTGCATCCGGGTGTCCAAATCTTAATCCGACCGTTGGATTTCTCTAAAATTTGGGTCACAAGTAAAACCTTTTATAAGCTTCGTGTGGGCTTTGGAATCACGTCGATCGGATATCAGACGGAGAAACGACGCACTCCGAATTTGGTCTGGAGGTGCTGTCATGACAGCATTAAATTGCTGTCATGACAGCTACAGTATTGATTTTATAACCTGCACAAAATTCAATCCGTCCGTTGGATCTTTTCAAAATTTAGTATGATAATAGTATTCTTTAAAAGTGACATGTGGGCTTTAGAATCACTCCGATCGGAGTCAGATGATGAAATGGTGCACTCCGGAAGTTGGTCCGGAAGTGCTGTCATGACAGCTATTTTTTAGCTGTCATGACAGCAAAAATAATCAAATTTTTAACATGTCTAATTTTAAATCCGACCGTTGGATCTTTTTGAAATTTGGTATACTTATAGTACCCTTTGAATGTGACGTGTGAGCTTTAAAATCACTTCGATCGGAGGTCGGATGGCGGAACGACGCCTCCTAGAAGTTGACTCGGGAGGGCTGTCATGACAGCAATTTAAATGCTGTCATGGCAGCATCTTTTTATTTCTCTTTCGTCTAACTTGCTTCCGTGCGCTATAGTTAGAACCTATAATTTTTTTTAAGGTTTTAAATGTTTACTTTACAATCGTATATTTGCTTAGTGATTTAAATGGTTTGTTTCCTAAGTTGCTTTTAGGATTAACTCCTTAACCACACTTAGTTTATTTGAATTGTGTGATTTTTGGATAACACTCGGGGCAAGTGTTACACTTCAATACTCAGTTTCTTGTAATTAAGGCATCTGCACAATATTGATCTCTCCTCAAATCCCATTCCTGGATGCGACTGCTATTGTACATGAACGAAAGAGACAAATAAACAAGGTTAGATTTTCTGGGATAATTTATCAACAGACTGCCTTCCTTTTCTTTTATATTGAGCACTTGAAAAATCTTCTCTATCCTATTTCACATCGATTCTCCACAAAGATGATGATGGATTGAGCATAACATAAGGAAGAAATATTGCGAGTCATAAGTGTGATACCTCGATATAGATGTCAATGGCTCTGTAAACCCCATCAAAGCAATCCCTGGCACTATCTAGCAAACACTCTGCAACTCCCAGAAACTTAGAGATCTTGAGGTTCTGGTCCGGAATATCTCCCGCAGATAATTGTCAATCAATCTGCCAACCTTCTTCAGTTTCAGTACAGATAGCCCATCATCAGATTCAGCTTCATTGATCTTAACAAACACTCTAACCAATCTTATCACTAAATCAACATCGTAATAAACTCCCATATCATGACCGGAAACCAGCAAATCGTCTAACGTGGCTTGATCAAGCATCCCATCGATCAATTTTTCCAGTTCCATTCTGCATTCCTTTCCCAACCCAAACCTAGATACAATCCTCAATACCCAAAACAGTCCTCTGCAAGAGAAGGACTCCTTGCCGACTAATATGACTCCACGGGCTGCTGTTTCTGCAAGACCTACAAACTCTCTTCTGTTTCTAGCTCTGCAATAGCTCTCTTTGCCTCTGATTTGAGTCGATGCTCTTAGATAATGAAGAAGAAATCTGGTGAGCATCAAGTTTGTGTTATTTGTTTTATATGCCCTAAGATTCTGAACAAGTTTCTTAATGATCTTAGGCGGTAGATGACCCAAATCCTGAAACCACCATGCTTTTGTTGGTAGCATTGACCTGGTGGTTTCTGGGATAGCTTTGGTTGAAGAAGAGAATCTCTTGGCAGAACTAGTTTCTGGAGAAGACGAGGAGGTGCTAAGGGGGTTCGTATATGAGTTTTGGGCAATCTTTGCTAAGAGTGCACAAATGAACTTGTCCAGAAGACCATAGGATTCTGCATAGTCATAAAATAGATCACAATTCCGTAGACTGACGAGCAAGTTTTTCCATTTCCAGCAATAGATTTCCTCAAGAAATGACTCTGTTTGTCGCAGGAGATTGTCAGAGAGCATTTCATCATCCTTTCCGAGATGAAGAGAGCAGCAATGGAGGAGAGCCACATTGGATAGAGTGATCGGGATTCTGCCATTGTTGTAACAGAATCTGCAAACCAGCTCAAACCCATTCGGGCCTCCAGGGAAATCATCGATTTCAATCCTCAAGTTATTGATCTGATGAGGGCTTCGTCTCCTTCGTTGATCGATGATTTTCTTCAACCCGGCGTAGTATCTTGATATAACCTTCTGCAAAAGAAATGAAGCTAAGTCATTATCGCTTTCCTTCAATATGCAGTTGTTAGAGACAGAATGAATACTAAGATCCCAATTGATAGAGAATACCTCTTTTAGGAAGAAAATCTAATTAGCATCAACGTGGACTTGCAAATCACAAAGCTTGGGCATGGCTGGCTACTTGGGCATGGAAGGATTGAGAGAAGATGAAATGGTGTTGGAAGTGACAAATTAATGAATCATAGAGAGAAGGGGGTTGGGGAGAGTAAGAGAATATTCCGCTATCGTAGGTGTGGCCAGTTTATAAAATAGCCTGATCCTCCTCTTCTTATAATCATTCAGCCAGTATCTCACGTGTCATCTTATATGGTAACAGTAATTTGATTTGATCGAATAGCTCTAAAACTTTTTGTTGAGATTGTAATGTCTCTTGTGCAAACATCTCAGTTTTTGTCATTGTGCAAAATTTTTACCATTTATTATTTTTTTCTTATTTGATACTCCATTTTTAAATATATAAAAAAACCAACTCACGCAGTATAAAAATGTTTTTTGGGTATAATAATTATGTCTGCAAATTTAAAAATTGAATCAATTTATTTTGCAATTAATGAAATAAACTTTTCTAATAAAAATAAATATTGACTTTTTGAAATTTTTCATTTTGCTTATAAATAAAAAAACAGAAAAAAAAACATGATAGTTTACTCCCTCCATTCAAAAATATGAAGCATTTTTTGAAGAGTTGAATGTTTAAAAATATAAGATATTTTTAGTCTTTTGAAGTGTAATCATTATTTTTTTTTTCAAAACTGTCTATATTGATAGTCACTTTATATTTATTATAGAGTATTTAATAGGGATAAATATAAAAGATAGGGTTAATTTAAAAGTGAGTAATTATTTTATTGAAGGGTGAGATTCAATTAAAAATATTTTATATTTTTAAATGGATGAAGTATTTTATATTTGAAAATGGAGTAGCATGGTGGTGATACCCTATTATTAGAACAATGTCAGTTTGAATAAAGTAATTTGACCATCTATTTCTTCAAGAAATTCTGAGATGGAAAGAACACATCTCCCTTGCTTTCCCTTCTTTATCAAACCGGAAATGTGGAAATTAAAACTTATTTGCAAACAAGAATAAGGGAGACAAAAGATTTTATTTTGATGGTATATTGAAGTAGTTTCATTTTTAATTGTTCAGGTATTATTTTTGTCATTGTGTATTATACAGGGCTCTACTTACGCGCAGAAAGGAACTTTTCCAAGGTGACAATTTTTTCAGATTGTATTAAAATGATCAACCTAATTGTTTGTAGCTGTAATGCCAACTATCCTTTAAGGAGATTGTTAAGCAAGCTAGATCTTTTTTTTTTTTTAATGGAAGGACAAATCGAATTTAATCATGTTTATAAGGATTGTGATAGAGATACTGACTATCTAACTGGATTATTTCATATTCTTGAAGTTAATTTTTGCCTCTCTGGTCATCATCCATATCTGAATTTTGAGATGGAAGATGATGAAAGAAGTTAGGTTGTTCTGTACGTTTTGTTTTGTTTTTTTTTTTTTATGTTCCTTATTTACTTTGTTTAATAATGTATTTCAATTATCATCAAAAAAAAAAAAGAATAAACTGCAGGAATCAAGTAATGCCCCATATAATTGCCTCTCATGTCCCATGCTCCCCTTTCTCTTCGATAAAAAGGATTAGAAAATAGATGGTTTGAAAAAGTTAGTGCGATGGACGATTTCATGCTTAGAATTTGTTTTACAAGCTATTGCGCCCTTTTCTTGTAGATTAGTTTTAGATGTGATTATGTGTTAAATCTTTTATCTCCCCCTGTTTATGTTTGCAAATCAGTTTCCACACTCCTGGCATAAATGGATGGTGGATTGCTTTATTGAAAACGACATATTTTTAATAAATAGAGATATAAGCCACCAGATTATACAAGTGCGGAGATTTTGGACCAGGACAAAAACTAGGACTTTTAAAACCAGAAATCATTTTGACTCCCATTCTGTTATATAATACTCATAAATTATTATGTCTTATGCAAGAAATGTTTTGATTGTAAAGATTGTTTTAATTTTTTTAAAAAAATATATTTTAATAATTTTTAAACATTAATAAAATTTAATAATTTTAATTAAGACACCCAATTAAATGAATAAATTTAGAGTATTGATTGAATTCAAATACTCGAAATCCTATGCAATTATCATGAAGGTTAGGTGAATAAATAATGATTGCTTCTCAACTCAACCCAAAAATTCTGTATGAGTACAACTACCCATCCAATTATTATTAGCTTTTTGCAACCTCTTCATTTACTTTGTCATTCAGCATTTATCCCATTTAGAGTCTTTTTTTTTAAAAAAAAATACTACTAGGAGTGTTTCCTGTGACGTGACTTTCGCTCCTATATTTTCGCGAGGTCTACAGCATTTTGTTTTGTTTTGTTTATTTATTTATGTTTCGCCAAAGTGAATCTACAGCTTTAATTAATTAAATTTAAATTTTGAATCATTTGCGGATAACTTCGTTTGGACCACAATTTACGGATAACTTTATAATGAGTAGGGCATATTTAAAATTATTTTTACTTTATTGTTTTAAGAATTAATATTTTATAAACATATTTTGATAATAAAAAATAATAAAAATATGTATTTTTTTTATTCTCCTTTATTTTTTATAAAATAATCTCAGAATACCTAAAAAAATTTTTATTCTTCAAATTAATATTTTATTTTTTATTTTTCAAAACACTTTTTAAAAATATATCATCAATTAAATTTTTTTTAATAAAAAACTGTTCCCAGAAGTATTTGCCAAATTGATCCTAAATTCTAATGAATCCTTGTCAACATTTGAGAGAAGCCCATCCCTTCATCCCACTTTTTCCACTTAAACTAATCTTAGGGGTCTAGATTCACAAACAACTTGATTTTTTAATAAATATATGTATCTTATTTTTACAACTTTAAATTACATGGCTGGGTTATATTAAAACCATACATATTACAAAATTTAAATACACTTTTGGATTAAATGATAATTTAGCCCCAAATTTATAGTTCCAAAAATGTCTGGGACCTTAAATTTATTTTTGATACAATATTTTTTTTCAACTTTAAAAAATAATGTCATGTTATATAACTCATATTATTAACAAATGTTAACTTTGAATTTTAATTGATAAAAAAAAATATAGAGAGGGATCTCAAAATTACAAAAAGAATCAAGAAAATGGTCTTTTTTGTAATTTTATGTATCCTTATATATAATTTTTTTATAATTTTTAAGTCATTTTTTATTATTTTTTAATCAACTAACGATCAAAATTAATTTTTGTTAATAATATGGATGACATTATATTATTTTTAAAAGTTGATAAGAAATATTGAACTAAAAATGAATTTATGGTTCCAAATAATCCTACTGTTCTAATTAGAAAGGGGCCATTTCTAACAGCATGCATTTGTTAGACTAAATTATTGTATTGTGTATTCAGCAAAAGAAGTTATTGTAGGTGATAAAATAAAACAAGTCGGAAACAAACGCACAATAATTGGTCCATGAGTTTTCAACATATGGTGTGCCATGGGAGGAAAAGGAGAAGTTAGTGTTGAGATTTTGTCTTGAGCAGGGGACAAACTGCTAGTCAATAAGTGCTAACCAAAGCATGAATATGTACTTTTTACCTTTGTCATCCAATGCAACCTAAATTCAAATGCCTTTTCCCAACCCGTGAACATGGACCCTGCCCTACCAGTTGCATGTATCACAAGCCAACATTTTATAATACTCCATATAATTAACTACAAACCAGCGGTATTATTCTCCCAAAACAAACAAATATTATTATTACTATAGTTCCGTTAGCTTGATTGAAAAAATGTGCAATGACTCTATTTGAACTAACAAAGTATACTACGGAAGATTTTACAAAAATCAACTAATTAATCAATGTGTCATGGATATAAATATCATATATATCATCCTTATATATAGATATGTATAATAAAACATGTAATCTCACAAGTTATAATGGAAACTGGAAAGTATTGATTGATAATTATATCTAATTATATACATATTATTTTAACTAAAATTATTTGACAAATGATATATTATATATAGATCCCCTCTTGACATGAGGTTTCAGTAATTATTGTATGAATAACAATGTTCATAAATTGTGAATACGCAATTTATTTTACGAGCACTATATATACAATGTATTAAAAGGTTGTTTAGTTTAATCACAAAATATATAATAAATTTGAAAATATTTTTCTCGTTTTAGTCCAAAAGATGTCTGCTTTACAACGCAGGGAATAGAAAATACAAAAGCGTCACTATTGATGAAATAGATAAATGCAAATTGCAAGAGTAGAATTTACAAGTTGCGCCAAATCGCGGGCCTCTATTAACACGGGAAGCGTTCAATAGGTAAACGTGCTGGCTAGCCACAACGCGGGCGTTTTGCAAATAGTAAATCATCTCCTACATATTTTTTTATTGACTAGAGCTGTAAAAAATGTAAAATATTTTTTGAAAGATTAAATTCTTAAAAATAGAAAATATTTTTAGTATTTTAAAGTGTAATTATTATCTTTTTTAAAAAGAAAAGTGCCTCTACTAAATAAATCACTTTATATTTATTTTAAAATAAAATATTCTACAAAAAAGGGGTAAATATAAAAAAGATAGTGTTAATTTAAATAAAAATAACTATTTTATTGAAAGAAAAAATTTACTAAAAAATGTCTTATATTAAATGGAAGAGTATAATTTTTATGTGTTTCACATAAACAAAATTTGAAATATAAACCATATTATTTCTAGTTTTGGGAGCAAATGTTCTTCCTACTATTATTGAAGATCTCAGGCGGAAGGAAAGGTGGGAGGCTCTTACTCTGGATAGAGGTTATGAGGCGATTTCTTATCTCGTATATGTGAATGACACAATTCTCTTCTTCAAGGCCAATCGAAGTAATTGTGATGTAGTTAAGGACGCACTTAGCATCTATAGCTGCCTTTTGGAGCTTAATTGTAAACAATTATAAATCAAAGCTAATTTTCAGCCAGAACGCTCCTTCATCTGCTAAACGTGATTTATCCACTGCTTTGGGAGTCAAATACAGTACACGCA